CTTGTCTAGTTTTGTCAGCGGAGTGTTCAAGTTCCCCACTACTGTTGTGTTGCCATCTGCCTCATTTCTTAGGTCTAGTAGTAATTGTTTATAAATTAGGGAGCTCCAGCGTTAGGTGCGTATATATCTAGAATTGTGATATTTTCCTTTTGGACTCAGTCCTTTTATTATTATATAATGTCCCTCTTTTTTTTTTTAACTGTTTAAAAGTCTGTTTTATCTAAGAATAGCTACTTCTGCTCACTTTTGCTATTAGCATCGAATATCTTTCTACCCTCCTTTACCTTAAGATTATGTGAGTCCTTATGTATTAGGTGAGTCTCTTGAAGACAGAAGATACTTGGTTGGTGAATTCTTATCCATTCTGTCATTCTGTATCCTTTAAATGGAGCATTTAGGCCATTTACATTCAACATTAATATTGAGATGTGATATACTGTTCTATTCATTATGCTAGTTACTGCCTGAATACCTTGGTTTTTCTTTGTGTTACTGCTTTTAGGCCCTCTGAGATTTATGCTTTAAGAAGGTTCTATTTTGGTGTATTTTGAGGTTTTGTTTCAAGATTTAAAACTCCTTTTTGTATTTCTTGTACTGCTGATTTGGTAATGGCAAATTCTCTCTGCATTTGTTTGTCTGAAAAAGACTTTTCCTTCATTTGTGAAGCTAAGTTTTGCCAGATACAAAATTCTTGGTGGATAATCATTTCATTTAAGGAGGCTAAAGGTAGGAGGGACCCCAATCTCTTCTAGCTTGTAGGGTTTCTACTGAGAAATCCGCTGTTAATCTGCTAGGCTTCCCTCTGAAGGTTATCTGATGCTTTTGCCTCACAGCACTTAATATTATTTCCTTCATCTTGACTTTAGATAACTTGACGATTATCTGCCTAGGTGATGTTTTTGTGACGAATTTCCAAAGTGTTCTTTGAGCTTCTTGTATTTGGATGTCCAGATCCCTAGCAAGGCCAGGGAAGTTTTCCTTGATTACTCCCTCAAATATGTTTTCCAAACTTTTATAAATTTCTCTTCTTCCTTGGGAACAGCAATTATTATTAGATTTGGTCATTTAACATAATCTCAAACTTCCTGGAGACTTTGTGCATTTTTTTAAAATTCTTTTTTCTTTGTTTTTGTCAGGTTGGATTAATGCAAAAGCCTTGTCTTTGAGTTCTGAAGTGCTTTCTTCTACTTGTTTGATTCTATTGTTGAGATTTTCCAGTGGATTTTGCATTTCTTTCACTGTGTCTTTCATTTCTAAAATTTGTGATTGTTTCTTATTTATGCCGTCTGTTTCTCTGGAGTTTTCTTTGTTCGTATCCTGTACTATTTAAAAAATTTCTTTAAGTTGTTTTTCATCTTTCTTTGGTGCCTCCTTGAATAGCTTACTAATCAACCTTCTGAGTTATTTTTCTAGCAATTCAGAGATTTCTTCTTGGTTTGGATCCATTGCTGGTGAGCTAGTAGTGATATTTTGGGGGCATTTAAAAAACTTTATTTTGTCATATGACCAGAATTTTTTTCTGGTTCCTTCTTACTTGGGTAGACTGTGTCAGAGGGAAGATCTGGGGCTCAAGGGCTGCTGTTCAGATTCTTTTGTCCCATGGAGTATGTCCTTAATGTGGTGTTTTCTTCTTTCCCCTAGGAATGGGGCTTCCTGAGAGCCACACTGCAGCAATTGTTATTGCTCTTCTGGGTCTAGCCACCCAGCTGAGCTACCAGGCTCGGTGTCTCCAAAGAGTCCTGTGATGTGATCCATCTTCAGGTCTCTCAGCTGTGGATGCCAGCATATGCTCTGGTGAGCGTCCTTGGTGAGGGTCCTTGGTGAGGGTCCTTGCCTGTAGTTTTGTTTAGTGTGCTGGTTTTTTTTGAATGCTGGTCATGTTAGCAGTGAAGTTGTCACATGGACAGACTGAGGACGTCTGGTTATCCAGGATGTTGCAGGCAGTGGAATTAGCTGTTGTTTTCTCCTTTCTGGAAAAGGGTTTTTATTTTATGAGTTGCCATAATGACATGAGTTGGTTGGCCACTGGCCAGGAGATGGCACTTTCAAGAGAGCATCAGCTGTCGTAGTATGTGGGGTGATACAAGCTTGCCCTAAAGTCACCCTGATAAGGATTTGGGCTTCTCAGGTGATGGGTGGGGTCAAAGAGATCCCACGGGTTAAAGTATTTTGTCTTTGGCTACCAGGGTGAGTAGAGAAAGAAGACCAGGTGGGGGCAGGGGTAAGTATGTCTGAGCTTCAGGCTGTCCTTGGGTGGGGGCTTGCTGTGGCTGCTGTGGGGATGGGGTGTAGTTGTCGGGACAATGGAGCTGGGAATTATGGCTACCTCTGCTACATCATACAGGTCGCCAGGGAAGTTGGGGAAAGCTGAGGCCTCACTCAGCTTCCATGCAGCCACCAAGGCCAATCTCACTCTCTCCATGCCCCACCAACAGCAAAGTTTATATCCTGGCAGCCAGTGAGCAGGGCTGAGATGTTGCTCCAGACTACAAGCCTCCCCACTGAGAAAGCAGGCAGCGGGGGTTTGAGGCTTTGCCCCGCTCTGCTTGCTGCAGCTTCTGTGCTCATATCTGCACTTCCTATTTGCCTTCTTCCTTCCCTCTGGATTTTGCCCTTAACAATTCATGCTTGGTTGAAATTATTATGAAGTTCAGCTGGAATTTTCCTTCTCCCTGTGATCCTTCCCCAATTCCACTGGCAGCCCTCCCCAAGGACCCCTGTGAGAGAAAGTCAGAAACGCTTCCCCGGGAACCAGGAGTACCTTGAGGGCTCTTTCTGCTGCTTCTTCTACTTTTATATTTTGCTCAGTTCCCCAAATTCATTCCAGCTCTACGTAAGGTTATATCCTTTTCCTGTATCTGGATTTTCAGGTTTCCCAGTGAGGATGTGTATATGGAGGTGGACTTTCCCCCCTCACACTTTGGGCACTCATAGTTTTTCGGCTGTCTCACAGAGTTTGTGGCAGAAAGCCGCTTCTTTTAAAGGGTTTGTGAATTCTGTCAGTTTTCCTGGTATGTTCCTGCAGTATTTCTTGGAGCAAAAGTTCATGGTGTGAGTCACCACATGCTATTCTGTTCATTTGAGTGGGAGCTGCAAGTTAGTCCTGACTCCCACTTGCCATTTTTTTTCCCTAGTAGGTCTTTTTCTATGCGTCCCATAATAGCATTGGCAATAACTCTGATCAACATATTTTAGAAAATATTCTGAAGGAATTCTGAATAAGAAAACATAGCAAAATGGAAATGGAAATTCCAGCAATGGGAACTATAACTGAAACTAAGAACTTAGGCTGCAATCCCAGCACTTTGGGAGGCAAAGGCAGGAGACCACTTGAGCCTAGGAGTTTGAACCTGGAAACAAAGTGAAACCCTGTTTCTACAAAAAATCAAAAATTGAGCTAGGCATGGTGGTGTGCACCTGTAGTCTCAGCTACTTGGGAGGCTGAGGCAGGTGAATTGCTTTAATCTGGGAGGCAGAGGTTGCAGTGAACCAAGATTGCATCACTACACTCCAGCCCTGGTGACAGACTCTGACAAAGGAGAAAAAAAAAAAAAAGGGTTAGAGGGAAAGCTATTGTAAAGTGTAAATGCTGTAAATAAACTACAATGTGTATCTCATAGGTTATGTCCTGAACGGACAACTGTCTCTCACCGTGTGCCAGACGCTGAATATATGCCATACTTTGATTTATCTTCACAATACGGTTCTCCCAAGTTTACACTTGAAGACACTGGAGGCTCAGAGAAGGAAAGTGGTTGGGCACAAGTGGCTCATGCCTGTAATTCCAGCAATTTGGGAGGCCAAGGGGGGACAGATCGCCTGAGGTTAGGAGTTTGAGACCAGCCTGGCCAACATGGTGAAACCCTTTCTCTACTTAAAAAAAAAAAGCAGGGCGTAGTGGTGCATCCTTGTAATCCCAGCTACTTGGGAGGCTGAGGCAGGATAATAGCTTGAATCCGGGTTGTTGTGGGGGTTGCACTGAGCCCAGATTGCACCATTGCACTCCAGCCTGGGAGATAGAGCAAAACTCCGTCTCAAAAAAAAAAAAAAAAGAAAAAAAAAAGAAAAAAAAGAAAAGAAAAGAAAAAAAAAAAAGACAAGACAGACAAGACAAGACAAGACAAGACCTTGTTCAAATAACCCAGCTGGGCAGTGCCGAACCAGGTTGGGCCTCAGACCCCTGTGTCTCTTTGTGGATAATTGCTCCATCCCCACCATCTGCCAGGACAAGGCCGTACTGGAACCTTCCAGCAGCCAAGGGCTCTGTGTTCTTCCCCAGGCTCCTAACGCCACGTGGCTGAAGCTCCAGGCTGCTCAAGTCCTGTGTGGGCTCCTCACTCGGAAATCCTCCTGCACCCAACCATGGGGGCGTCTCCCTGGTAGTGACCTCGTCCCTTTCTCCCACCCTCTTCTTGGAGTAGCTCATTTCCTCTGAGGGTTTGCACCTCGTCATCGTCCCCAACCTACCACCTGCCTTCCTCCTACTTCCCTCCATCTCTCCTGGGCCTCTCACCTCCCAGTAGTGTGCCCTTCCTCCACTCCTGCAGCCCACAGAGTGACCAGCTCCCTCGCACCTCACGCCCAGCTTTCTTCCTCCAGCCCCCAGACAGCTAGCCCGGCCCTAACCTCCCTGTCCCACCCTGCATGGTGGTCTGGCCCTAACCCTCTCACCCCATCCCTGCGGGGTGGTTCAGCCCTAACCCTGCCTCCCCACCACTGCAGTGATCCGGCCCCGCCCCTGCCTCCCCACCCCTGCAGCGGTCCGGCCCCGCCCCTGCCTCCCCACCCCTGCAGCGGTCCGGCCCCGCCCCTGCCTCCCCACCCCTGCAGTGGTCCGGCCCCGCCCCTGCCTCCCCACCACTGCAGTGATCCGGCCCCGCCCCTGCCTCCCCACCCCTGCAGTGGTCCGGCCCCGCCCCTGCCTCCCCACCCCTGCAGTGGTTCGGCCCCGCCCCTGCCTCCCCATCCCTGCAGTGGTCCGGCCCTGACCTCCTCACCTCTCACCTCTCACCTGCACCGTCGGCTGCTCAGCGCGTGGCGCACAGTGTTTGTCGAAGGCCCGACAGCCGTCGACAGAGACTGCGATGGCGGCAGCGGCAAGCCGGGGTCGGCCGCAGGACTGGGCGCGTTTCGTCTACGTGACGCGCTTTGGCTCCCACCAGTGCGGTGCTGTCCTGCAGCTGGGCGGCCGCCGAGCCCAGGGCCTGTGGGGTCGGGAGTCCGGGGCCGGTTGTCGCCAGAAGCCAACAGAAGCAACGGCGGTGCCTGGCGTCCCCGGTGGCGGCGAGCTAACCCCAGGTTCCAGGCCCAGGGTCCCCGCGGCCCCTGGCGTGGCGGTGGCGGCCTCTGCCTCTTCCTCCTGCTCCCAGCTGCGGACATCGAGCGGGCGGAGCAGCACCAGGCCTGCGGCGCGTGCAGGTGTCTCGGCGGGCGGGCGGCCCTGCTGGGCGCCATCTTGCGGCGCGGGGAGGGCGGGGGCGGCTCTCCTGTGAGGCGGTGTTGCCAGCGCGCGGGGCTTGTCATTAATTCCCAGGGGTCTTGGGACGAGCCCCTGACATAAGAGGAGGGGTTGCCGAACGGGGCCTTTAGGGCACCCTCACGGGGGCTTTTGGGCTGCAGCGTTGCCGTTCCAGCTGAGTGACGTGGTTGACTTGGCACCTCTGACCTAGAGGACTGACTTCGGGATGCTTTTGAGTCATCCTGGCTAAGAAAGGGATGAGCTCTACGTTTAAATCAGGAAATGTCTTAAATTTAAAAATTATCCAGCCTCAGGTTTTGCGTATGTCTTGATCAGTTGATGTCTAAATATTTAATCTTTGCTGTTGTAAATGGGATTTCTTTCTATGTAATGCCCTTTAAATGCTTATTGTGTACAGGAAGCCATTTTTTTTTTGAGGCGGGGTCTTGCTGTGTCACCCAAGCTGCTGTGTGGTGCTCCAGTCACAGGCTCACTGCAGCCTCGACCTCAGCCTCCCGAGTAGCTGGGACCACAGGTGGGCACCCCCATGCCCAGCTACTTTTTTTATCTTTTGTAGACATGGGGTCTCACTATGTTGTCCAGGCTGGTCTCAAACTCTTGAGCTTCTCTATATTTTATATAGAGATTGACCTGTGTAAGCTTCCTAACTCTAAGAGGTCAATTTTGGTAATCTGTATTTCTTTAAGCATTTATCCATTTCATCTGGGCTTTCAAATTTGTTTACATAGATATTTGCAAAATAGTGTCTTATGATGTTTAAACATTTTCTTGCGTTTTAATGGTTATTTCCCTCTTGTTATTTCTTTTGCTGTATATATGTGCATTCTCTCTTTTTCTTGATCAAGTTAGCCAACATTTTTTCTATTTTGTTTTTTTTTAAAAAAAAAAAAAAAACTAAGATTTTTGCCAGGTACAGGGACTCACACCTGTAAGTTTACCACTTTGGGAGGCTAAGGTGAGCAGTTCAAGGCTGTGGCGAGCTATGATATGCTCTTCAACCTGGAGAGACAGAGTGAGACCCTGTCTCTAAAAAAGAAAAATCAAGGTTTTGATTTATGAATTAGATATTTTGTTTCTCTAGTCTCTTCCTCCTTAATTTCTGCTTTTAATATTATTATTTCTTATACTTTCTTTTGATTTACTTTGTTCTTCTTACACTTTTTTTGTGAGCAGGAGATTTAATTCATTTATTTTTATTCTTGTTATTAAGTGTTTAGTGCAATGCATTTTCTTCTAACCACTACTTTAATTACATCCCATAGATTCCAATATGTAGTGTTTTCATTATCACTACTTTTAAAAGAAATTATGTAATTTTTAACTCTTTTCCATAGAGTTGCTTAATAGAGTTTAAATTTTTAAGTTTTCAGAGCTTCTCTGTTTTTTATTTTTATTTTTATTTTTGCTAGTAAACTCAGGTTTATTACATTGTGATAAGAGCATTGTTTGTGATGTCTTCATTTTATGGATGTTACTAGTGTTTTCTTGTGACCTAATTTATCATCCTTTTTGTTCTTTTCACCTCAGAAACCATGCCACTGGAAGACTGCTCCTTTAAATCATGCTTGCCACTTTAAACTGAGTCTCCATTATATTGCATGCTTGGCATTTTGTGTTGTGTCTGTCTCTTTAAATTTCTTCCCTATAGTCTGTACTTTGATCTGCCTAGTTATTTTTTTAGTATTTTCAGATATAGAATGAATTTAATCTTAATGTTGGTCACTCCAGCTCTCTTGAGGCATTTTTATTCTAGTGTTTCTATTTTCTCTTGCCTGCTGGCCAGAGCCCCTGTAGGTCTGGGGCATATGGCCTCATAGAACTGCAATTTAATGGTAATTTTTTTTCATTTTACTTATAGTTATTTTGCAGCTTCAGCATCCTTTGCCTTAAAGTAATGCTGAGGGCGTGGGTCTTTTTGGGGGGAAATTATTACTACCTGCTTGCTATTGTCTTCAGCTACCCAGAAGCTCTGCATTAAAAGATTTTGAATTAAAAAAGTGATAGGGTCAGATTTAGTTAGTCCGTGCTATACAGGGGAGATTGACTTAGAGGCAGGTTAGACAGAAAAAAAAAAATCTCAAGTTGAAAAATATATATTTTGTTTTCTATTCTTTCAGAACTAAATACTTTGGTAATTTATTAGGTTGGTGCAAAAGTACTTGAAGTTTTGGATCTTGAGTTTTAAGTCATTATAACTAGGCTCAGACACATCTTTATTGATCAGAATAGGAACCATTAAAATCAACACATTTTTGCCAACAAGAAATAAGTTTCTTTATTCCTGTAGCATGAAAATTCCTGCTTTGGGATTTGACGAATGCCTGGAAAGCATTTTCTGCATCCTGCTGGATGTGGAAGTATTCTCCCTGCAAAAAGTTGTTGAGATGCTTGAAGAAGTGGTAGTTGGTTGGTGAGAGGTCAGGTGAATGTGGTGGATGAAGCAAAACTTCTTAGTCCAATTTGTTCAACTTTTGAAGCATTGGTTGTGCAACGTATGGTAAGTTGTTGTGGAGAATTGGGCCCTTTCTGTTGACCAATGCCGGCTGCAGGCATTGCAGTTTTCAGTGCCTCTCATTGATTTGCTGAGCATACTTCTCAGATGTAGGGGTTTCTCTGGGTCAGAAAGCTCTAGTGGATCAGATTGGCAGCAGACCACCAAACACTGACCACGATCTTTTTTTTGGTGGACGTTTGGTTTTGGGAAGTGCTTTGGAGTTTCTTCTCGGTCCAGCCATTCCCACCTCCTAGTTCTCCTTCCTTGGCATCTGATCGTGTTACCCCTGCCACAAAGGAATTGGGGGTGGGAGAGATTGGAGGCCAGAAAACAGTTAATGAGGCAGTTACAGTAGTCCAGTGGAAAGAGTGAAGGCCTGAACTAAGGCACTGGCAGTGGAGGCAGAATGGACAAGATGGTATAGCTTACTGAAAGAGAGAATTGTGGCCAAGTCTGAAGTCTCTGTGCTGGGTGACTGGATGGATAATGGAGCCACTAATGTCAGTGACCACCCTGCTGTGCTTGTGAAGCTAAGAATATAGTCAAAGGAAGGGTGTCCTGGGGTAGACTTATAATAAACCAAGCCAGAAGTGCTTAAGTGCTTAGGTTTTACTCAGTGTTGGGTGTATTTGATGTCTGTTTTTGTTTTTATTTTGAGACAACGTCTTGCAGAGTCTCACAGGCTGGAGTGCAGTGGTGTGATCTTGGCTGACTGCAACCTCTGCCTCCCAGGTTCAAGTGATTCTCCTGCCTCAGCCTCCGAAGTAGCTGGGACCACAGGTGTGTGCCACCATGCTCAGCTAATTTTGTATTTTTAGTAGAGACAGGATTTCACCATGTTGGGCAGGCTGGTCTTGAACTCCTGACCTTGGGTGATCCACCCACCTTGGCTTCCCAAAGTGCTGGGATTATAAGCGTGAACCACCATACCCAGCCCTTAATGTTAAGTAGACATTCATTAAATGTGTCACCCTCCATGGATAAAAAGATGAGTTATATATTCAGTAACATTTACTTAACACCTATCGTGTTGTGGTCACTAGATCAGGTATTCATGACACAGGTAAATCAGACAAGTATTTTGCTCTCAAGGGACTTATTCATGAATAATGGGAATATAAACTAGTAGACATGAGTGTTGTTAAGAGCTGAGAATGGCCTTGATAGTCAAGTTCAAGGAAAGAAGAGGCATAGATGCAGGCAATCGGGGGACATGTATAGAGAAATCACTAGTGGGACAGTGGGAGTTATCAAGAGCATTGGCTTTGAAGTCAGAAAGACATAATCCTTAGTTTTGTCACTTATCAGCAGGATAATATTGACCAAGTTAGTTAATCACTATTATTCTCGGTGGTCTTATTTGTAAGATGGGGGTAATGGTTCCTATCTTAAAGGGTTGCTGCAAAGATTAAATGAAATAATATGTGTGGAGTGCCTAGCACGGTGTTTGACACAGAATGAGTGCCCAGTAAATGCTGGCATATTGAGCAGAGATGGCTTGAAGGGAAGGTGGTGATTAGCATGTCTAGCACACAGTGGACATGTACTATTTATTGAATGAAAATAAGTTTTGGACCAGAGTATGGAATACCTTGGAGACTCATTTTTTATAGTCACTGAAGAGTTTTGAATGGTGGAAAAAGTTTTTGGAGACAGGCGCACTTCTGGAAGACAAACTTGTAAGCTGTTTGGAAAATGTACTGAAGTTTAGATTCAGGAGTAGGCAGAGCAGCAACTTTTCTAACATTTCAAGTAAGACTAATAAATCAGGCCAGCTCCCTGTCCTTACAGAACTTGAAAGAAACATTTATAATTTATATATGATGGAAGATGGTGAATGCTATTGTGAAAGTGCAAATGAATGCTTTGGAAGTGGTGAATAATTTGGGGAATGAGAGAATCAGGGAAGGCTTTATCATGGTGGAAGCTCCATGAGATTTACACTTGGGGCTGATATAGGAAAATTAGGTGGAGAAAACATGTGAGCAAAGCACTGAGTATGGATCAGTGATGCAGTGATTAGAACAAGTGGGTCAGAGTGGGTGGAAAGAGGATTGGGAGAAAGATCTGAAACATAAGTCAGGAATGAAATCCATGAAATACACTGGAGCTAGTCTCAGCACAATACACAAAACGAGTGGAAGAAATTTGCCTGGGAGATGTGTCAGTGTGTGTGTGTGTGTGTGTGTGTGTGCGTGCATGCGTGCGTGCGTGCGTGTGCTGAAAGGGTCAGGAATTAGACACATTCGAGGAACCACGAGGTTTGTGTAGTTGGAAGTGTAACGTCTGCCTGGAGTTGCACTTAGAAGAATGAAGCCTGTAGGGATAGACTGGAGCAAGATGTGTTATCTGGTATTTGTTCATTCTGTTGTTGGTATTTCTGGGACTAGCCTGACAAATCAGAAACGGAAGACTGAACTAGCTGATGATTTTCTAGGTACTTAACAGATTATGTCTAGTTTTTTTTTTTTTTGGTTGTTTTCCACGTTACTAGTGAATTGGTAAACCAGTATTACCTGGTGATCAGAAATACAACGAGTGTAAAAATTCCCAGAGACCTCAAAAAACATGTATATGGTCTTATTTTCAGATAGTAAATTCTTATATATGTTGACCTTTTCACTTTCTTCTTAAAAATTAGGTTTAATCCAGAAGGATGCAGCTAAAAAGTTTGATTTTCCCATACCATTGAATGAAGCATCTAAAATGATGAAGAAAAAGAAAAAGGTATAGTACTGTAAAGGAGAATGAGCATTATTTGAATTTTAGATCATCCTCTCTAAATACAAATGTGTAAAGATATTCAAGACAGTGAAAATAGTTTCATCTTTTGAATAATTTAATTTTCTGAAATGAGAAAATAGAAGTAATTCAGCAGAAATGGAACTCAGTTTGGAGATATTTATTAACCATAAAGAATTGTTCTTTCAGTGTTTGAAGGTATAAAACACATTTTAACCAAAATGTAACCGCACTGGATGATTTTTCAAAGCATGATATATGTTCCATAGACTATAATAAACTGTGATATATAATGTAGTATAAGAAGAAAATCACAGATTTCATAGAAAAGAATAATGTATTTATATTGGTCTTTTTAAAGACAAGGAATATGTAATATATTTCTAGCAGGCAATCTGAGAAGGATGAACCACTGCTGCTAAACCGTTCTCACTGCTAGTTGTCCAAATGGCATGGCAATTTGAGTGTCTAGAACATATTCAAGATCATATGCTCTGCGAATCTTTGATTGCCACTGTATGTTTATACCTCACAGCATAGTTTATATTCAGTTTAAAGAAATTATTGGTTGTTAATGATACATAACATTGTGTTGCTTCTGAGCTTTGAGTTTGTTTGATGTCTGTATGGTATAAAATAGCATTAGAAGTGAATAACTCTTGTACCAAATATATTTTGAGTGAGCATCTAATTTTCCTACTGTACTAAGAGATGTGTCTTCTGAGAACCAGTTCCTTTTGGGTGAGGAGAAAAGAGCAATGACCAATACTTACTTTTAATTACTATGTGCCAGATACTGGGTACGTGCTTTATATATGTATTAAATATTTTTTCATTAATTCTTATAATCTGATGTATGAAGTTATTCCTAGATGTGATTAGAATACTCTCAAAATGTCAGGCAACTGGAAAACGGCAAAGCCAGAATTTGAGCCTAGATCTATTTGTTTGATTCCATAATCCTCATTCTTTCTATTCCAGTATATTCATACTCTCTAGTACTATTGCTAGGAGAAATAATTATTAACTGGAATAAAGTACATTTAAAAATCAAGTCATTTCCCAATGGTTTAATCATTGGAATATAAATTCACAATTTTTAAAAATTACCTTTCAGAATGGAATGTGTTAGAATCAATTGGGTAGGACGTTATAGATATTGCCTTTGAAAGGAAACTTCATCCAGGACAGTTAATTTAAATACTACAGGGAGGAAATTCTAGGGATTTCGAAAAAGGGAACAGATAATTCAGATCATGGGTAAACAATTACACTTAAGTTTTAGTTCTCTAAATGCTAGTATTATAATAATGATATCAGTTGACATACAACACAGTTGAATCATTCCCAGTTGCCTCTATGAAAATATATTCCTACTTTTCTGCTCAGCATTCCTTTACTGTGCTTATCTTTTTAAGGTTTTAGTATGGAATAGAGTACAGAAAGTCATTTCAAGAATGCTTGAAGAAAATGAAAAATACAGACACAGGCTGAAATGCCAAAGATTATCCGGTGAAAGTAAGTGAACACAGTTTTTATTGTATTAAAGCAAGTGGCCTCTGTAACAGTTCAGTTATCCTGGGATTGCATGAGATCAGCAGTTTTCTTAGTGGTCCCATGTAACGTATACTATAGAAATGAGGCTACCTATATTTTCACTATTCATCATATTAGAAGTACAGAGCACCTCCAAGCAGTGAGTGCAGAGGAGAGCACAGGTATAGGAGTGAGTGGAGGAGTGTAGAAGGTGCATGCTGACTGGAATTTACTGAGTAAAGGGGACATACTTTTCTGTTAAATGTGAATCTTAATGCCAATTAAAAAATACAAATTACAAAGCTCATCAGTATTGATGAAGAAGAACATTTTAACTACAATATGAAATTGCACATTGTGTCACTGCCTATAGTCATTTCCTTTCCATGGAAGCTGCAGTCCCACTTAATGCATTTAACAAAGTCTGCCCTTGGTTTATGGCCTTGATGTCATTATTTCATTCCTGGAAAATAGCTCATGAATTAAACCTGTGTTCTAAAGCTGCATCAATATTGAGTTGATATTGTGGTTAGAGTGAAATTAGATGTAGTCTAGTATGTTTATTAAAGTAATTTGTAGTTCTGGATTTTCAAAAAATTAAGGTGGATAAAATTTGTGTAACTAGTAATGCCATGTGAATGGAAAAGTCAAAACTTTTCTTTCCTTAACATGCATGTGCTGATACGCATGCTATTATGGATGTTTCTGTGAGTTCCTAATATAGTCATTCTATGGCAACTTCTATTTCATAGTCAGTAAACCTGCAGTATTTAATTTCATGAAGAATATTTTCATAATATAATCATGAAAACAGAATGCCATTTTGCAAGCAGTGGAAACTTATGGTTCATATGATGTTGCATCAGTGGTAGCATGCATTGTCCACAATAATGGCAAATTAGTGATAATTTGTTTCACTTTTCTTATCCATTTAAGGAGAATGAGGTAGGGGGCTGATAGGAAAAAGAAAAGTAGTCAGAGGTAGCTTAAATTAAAAGGATGTTTGAATAGGCAGAACAATGTGCAAAAAACCTGGACATATTTCTGAGTGCTTATTCAGATCAGCGCATAACTTTGAATCTGTTGGGTTCTTTTCTGCCTCAGCAAGAGACCTTCTCTTAAATATGATCTTGTAAGGATTATTTAACAACTTAAAATAATATGCTGTGTTTTCCATAAACAGCCTCTTGTAAACAGAGGTATCCTTATATAGTTCATTATTTTGCATTACAGTATTAAACTAGATTACAGAACTTCTTTATAAAGCTAATAATTATGTCTAAAATGTATTACAATATTCATTCCTTAATATGTATTTATTAATGGGAAAAACCAGTGCTGGAGGACAACTTAAATTTTCCTTATTTTTTATGTTGTTTGCAGACTCAAATTACACAAGATGAATCTTCTTATCTTCTGGTAAGAATCTATTTAGGTAATAATTGTGTAATTTTTTTTCTCTTCCTTTCTATATCCTCCCTTCTCCAAACATTACTGTATAACCATTGGTAGTTCCAGCCTATTTTCTTTCTTAAATCCAATGATTGGCACACAATAGACACTCATTAAAATACTTATTGACCTTTAAAACTTCATTTGGGCCCCATCTCCATCATGCTCTTAGAAATTCTCTCTCTGTAGTCCATGTTTTTCCTTCTACTTCTTTTTTTTCTGTTGTATAGTCTGAGGGCAGAATCTTCTTTTTGTTCATACCTCTACTTAATTCTCTTTTCCTTTGAACATACTGTCATATTTAATACTATCTTACTACTGCTGCTTTTTATTTCTTACTGTCCTGCAGATTGTGTCATGGCCCTCATCCTACCTCACTTAACCATATTTACCTTTGCTACCAACTAATAACAAATGCTGTCCTGGGAGTAATTGTTGGTCCCGTTCTCTCTTTACATATTGACTCTGGAATAACTCACAGATTTTTGGAGCTTCGACTACTCTTCCTGGGTATAGTACCCTTACATCTGCATCCTACCCTTGACCTTTGGTCATGTACTTCTAATTTTCTTTAGGCTGTTCTACTATTACTTTTTTTTTATTTTTTTATTTTTTTTGGGTCACCACTGCTGAAATCTACATACAGTTAACAGTTACTTTTTTTTTTTTTTTTTTTTTTTTTTTAAAAGAGACATGGTCTCACTCTGTACCCAGGCTGGAGTATGGTGACTCGATCATAGCTCACTGCTGCTTCTAACTCCTGGGCTCAAGTGATCCTCCCACTTCAGCATACCTTATTAAGTAGATAGGACTACAAGTGCACACCACCATGCTTGGCTAATTAAATTTTTGTTTTGTATAGATGGGGGTCTAGCTGTGTTGCCCAGGTTGGTCTCAAACTCCTGGCCTCAAGTGATCCTACTGCCTCAGCTTTCCAAAGTGCTGGAATTGCAGGCATGAGCCACTGTGTCCAGCTGAGAGTATGTTTTAGACATGAAAGTGAACAAATTCATGCAGTCAAGAAAAGGATTAGGATATGTATACTGTACTTTGAATAAAGATTAACACGATAACCTGAGAAAGGTATAAAAGTATATTGAGATAGTACATCAAAGAGTCTCACATGAATTTTGGGCTGAGGATTTGTACTTCATTCAGTAGGGAAAGAAGAAATGGACCACTTTCTTAACCTTTTATTTTAAATGATTTCAAATGTACAGAACGATTATTAGACTAATACAAAGTACTCCAGTAAACTCTTTACCAAGATTCACTGTTTTTTAGCATCTTGCCATATTTGTTTGCTCATTCTTATTCTCTCTGTGTGTATAAATACTTCAATGTGTATAACCTAAGAGCAAGGGTATCTTTTATATAACCACATTACAGTTATCAGATTCAGGAAATTGAACATCAGTATCCTTAATCTGTAGCAGTTTGTCAGCCTTTCTTTGTCTTTTGTGATATCGATATTTTTGAAGAATACAGGCCAGTCATTTTTCAGACTAATTCCTCAAGGCTTTCTGATGACTACTCATGATTTGATTCATGTTATGCATTTTTTTGGCTGGAACGTTGTATATATAATATAACTTTCCAGAGGATCACATCTTGAGTTACATGATCTTCACTGATCCCTTATTGATGATGTTAACTTGGAGCTCTTGGTTATGTTGTTATCCATTTGTAGTTACTATTTTTTCTTTTGCAATAAGTATTTCATAGAAAGATAATGAGAGTATGCAAATATCTTGTTCTTTATAAATATATAGAATATTTTAAAGCAGTGGAGCTATCAGATTTGCATTTTAGAAAGAATATGATGTCATTTGTGGAAAGATTTGGAATGGAGTTGAAATAGGAGGTGAAAAAGAAAATATGATTGTAATAGCATCCACATGAAAAGTAAAATGCACTTAAATGAAGGTTGTAGAGAGTGCAGAGAGAAGGCGAATGATCAGGTATGGGGATAAGATGATACTGAGTTTTGAGAGTAAACTTCATAAAATGAGTTTTTAATGAAGGTACTGAATTTTACTTTTGGCATGTTGAATTTTAGGTAATAGTGAGGGACCCAGGTGAAAATGCTAAGCAAGTAATTGGAACTGTTGTAAGGGAGGTAGTGTGATATCTATAGTGTATAAAGGTCATATGTAGTTCTAACAGTAGATGTAGATTAAGACTTTAATGTGAAGAAAGAGAGAGAGGAGAGGACTGAGTACAGAGTATCAGGCAATGCTGAGGATAAAGAGGAATTTTTAGTTTCGGAGTCAGGGATTCTAGGGACTTAGGAGTAATGAGAGAGATGATTGTGGGGCTGAGGAGGGAGACAAATGAAATTTGCAGGAGATCAAGGGATTGGGAGTTCAAAGGAGGGCAGAGACCTTATCTAGTGAGAGTATAGGGGTATAAAAAGGCGGAGCATAAAAATATGTCATTTAGGAACATTTGAAAAGTTTCAGCACCTAGAGGTAAAGCACAAGTTCCAGTGATGACAATGTCTAAGCCATGTCCTTGCTTGTAAGTAGCCTGGAGGTGAAGGCCTGTGATACAGTGTTTCTGTGACACGTTTCTTGTAAATGGGACTGTTGAAGTCACCAAGGGTATTGGCAGGAGTTGGAGTGGAAAAGAAAATTATGAGATACACATTGAGTCTGTTGGAAACTTTTTATGTTCAACAAGAGAAAGTAAAAGTCATTAAAATCATAACTACAGGGAATGTCTAGGTCTTGCTTTATAGTCTTAGAAATGCTAAAAATTTTCAGTGACTACTGATGATGATATTTTGTCTTAAAAAGAATTCAATTTTGTCATTTTTAAATTTAGGATTAACCTATCCTTGGATGTTTCCCAAAGAAGATTGTGAAGAATCTAAAGATGAAACATTAAATGAATCCTAATTATTTGTTAATTTTGATGTGCATTATTGGAATTGGGACTTTAGTAGTCGAATAGAAAAACTACCTTCTTTATAAATTGATAGTATTTCTTTGCAACTTAATAATACCTTTAGTTAAATATTGTTACCACATGCGTGCAAGTGTTATTTTCAAAATTTAGATTAGCATATCAATGTAATTGCATGAATTTTATAATTGCCAATGTAATTGAATGAATTTCATAATTGCCAGCTTTTTCTTTTTATTAATGAGTCTACCATCGCTGCTTTGTTCATCTCTTCTTTTAGATGTAACTTTTAAATTAAACTTGGATTCATTTAAATTATTTTTGGCTTCCTCTAAACTTCTCAATTATTTTATGAAAAAAACCTTAGAATTTTCATAGCAACAATTATTTTGGATGTTAAAACTAAGCTAATGATTATTTAAGCTATCTTTTTATCCTAAGGAAAATTAGCAAATTTATACATTTATAACATGGATATATTATAAAGGACTATATTATAATATGGAGTATTTTAGAAACATTTTTGGGCAAAGATTAGAGGAGATGCTCTTTCACCTTGCCAGGCCCCTAAGTAATAGATAAGTTATTTATTTTTTAGTTTTTGACATTTAAAGATTTTTATCAGGCCTGCGACACATACATGAATTTTTGACAGAAGATGTAAAAAATATTTTTAAAAACCCAACCATTACTTGTTAACAAAAAGTGCAGAGAAGCTTTTTGAGCAGATACCACAGTGACCCTTCCATATGAGCACTTTTTCTTAGGCGGGAAAAAATGGATTCTTTCTCCATATATTTACAGCTAGTAGGAGTAAACTCAGGGTTTTACAAAATTCACTTATAAATCACATTTTAATGTTGCAAAATGTTATTTTAATGAGAGGATTAGAATTCTGAAAATCATTTAGAAGTATTGTTTAACAATACCTTATTTTCTATTCAATATTAAGCAGTAATCAACTTCTACCTCTGCCAGTTTTTCTGCTTTTTTGCTGGTGTGATATCTGTTCCTAAATTGAATCAAAGTCTTAAGTGGAACTGGAAACTTAGGAGGGAAAGACAAAATGAGGCTTGTTTATGACCGAACTCTGTGTAGTCTAGTTGCTTCTTCCCCTTGCAGTGGCAAGTACTTTTATATCCTGGATGATTACAGTGATGACTTCTATTCTTTTTTGGGGGCATTGAGAGGGTGGGCTTCCTAATTATTTTACAAAGCTATTACATAGTGTCAGTATACCAAATTCTCATGAAATAGTAAAAGTTGTAAGAACTGTGAAGCAATTCATAGTTTTCTTTCTTCCTGTAATAATTATAACTTAATTACTTCAGGAGACTACAGCAGTATAGAATTTGTGGTAACATGTTCTTCTAGTGACTGTTTAACAAGTCCACCTGTTTCTAGATGGCAGGACACATTGCCTGTGGAAATGGCCTTGGTTTTTTTTTTGCCATGTGGGATCTCAAGTTTCCCTGCATGAAGAGTCACGCAACCTCTTTGTATTATGCTGGGTAAATTTTCAGGCTGCTAAATCCTTGGGTGAAGCTTAAAATTTTAGGTTATGCAACTTAAGTCTGTTGCAAAATGAGACATATTTACACTGTTTATACAGTAATTTATGCTGCATAGTGTTGTGGTGAATGTGAATGAGGATTTTAGGTTTGCTTCAGTGTATATTTTTATTTATGTGACATACAGCATGGATAGTAGTCTGTTTTATTAGGTATATCAGATTTAAGAATCTAGTGCTGGATACAAACTCAATTTGTTTCATCGTTTTAGAACCATGTAGAAATGAAGACTCCCACTGAAATGAATGTTCTAAATATTTGTTCTAAATCTTTTAATTTTTAATAATTTCTGGTGAATATGTGTTGAATCTTTTATGTTAAATAGAATAGAATAAACATAAGACTTTACTGATACATCACTGAACATCCGCTGGAATACTGTGACTTACTTCTGTTCTGTAATTTCAGTAAGGGCCAATGACCCATCCCTGCTACATTAAAGACTTCACACTGCAATGTGGTCCTGCCTTCTC